ATGTAAAGGAATAAAGCCTGATGATATGGATGATGCAAAATGGAATGGACTAAATAGAAAGGCTACTGCTAATGTTAGAAAATGGGTATCTTCTAAGTCCATTAATCATATTTCTCAAGAACATGACTGCTAAACAGCTTGGAAAATGTTGGAAGAAACATTTACAAAGGAGAGTGCACAAAACAAGGTTTTTGTAGTTAGAGACCTTGTGAATTTGAAGTATAGAGATGGTGAAAATGCTTCAGTGCATATAAATATATTCCAAGGGTTCTTGAATCAGTTGTCATTGATGAATCTTGAGTTAGCCGATGAAATGCAAGCATTAATCCTACTGAGTTCATTGCCAGATAGTTGGGAGACTTTGGTGGTGTTACTTAACAATTCTACTTCGAATGGAAAGATCATTTGGAAAATAGTGAAGGATTGTATCCTCAATGAAGAGAAGATAGGGAAAGGGACAAACACTTCTGAGTCTCATGCATTTGTTACAGAAAGTCGAGGGAGAAGTCCAAGCAGGTTCTCTTACGGCAAGCAAGATAGAAAATTCAGCAATAGAAAAGGCAAATGGAAGCCAAGAGAAAAATCTCAGTCAATGAAGGGTTTTCAGTGTTATTATTGTGACAAGTCTGGGCATATGCAAAAAGATTGCAGAAAGTATAAAAGAGATAAAAAGGGTAAAGATGAAGACAAGAATGAAGAGAATGCTACAGCTGCAGTTGTATTTGATGGTGATGTTGTCATTGTTTGTGATGATGGTTGTGTTAATCTTGCACGTTAGGATACCGTCTAGCTTGCAGATTCAGCAGCTTCTTACCATGTTACACCCCAACGTGATTTTACACATCCTACACTGCTGGTGACTTTGGTCAAGTTAGGATGAGAAATAAAGGGATGGATAATGTTATGGGTATTAGAGACATTTAGTTGGAAACCAATACTAGATGCAAGTTGCTACTCAAATATGCTAAGCATGTGCCTGATATGCGCCTACACTTGATCTCTACAGGTACTCTTGATGAAGAAGGCTATCACAATTACTTTGGAGATGGTAAATGGAAGCTCTCCAGAAATTCCCTGATTGTTGCTAAAGGGAAGAAAATGGGTCTCTACATGTCACAAGCCAAGGTGATCAAAGGGGAGGTGAATGCAATTGAAGATTGCTCTACTGATCTGTGGCATAAGCGGCTTGGACATTTAAGTGAGAAAGGCCTTGGCATCCTTGCCAAGAAGAACTACCTTCCATTAAAAGGTATGAACTTGAACACATGTACTCATTGTTTAGTTGGCAAACAACACAGAGTTGCATTTCAAAGATCACCTTCACATAGAAGATCACATGTTCTTGATTTAGTTCATACTGATGTTTGCTCTATGATTGACAAGTCTCTTGGAGGTGCATTGTACTTTGTTAGTTTTATTGATGATCACTCCAGGAAAATTTGGGCCACTTGTTTGAAATCCAAAGATCAGGTGCTGTTTGAAATCCAAAGATCATGTGCTTGATATCTGTAAGGATTTCCATGTTAGAGTTGAAAGAGAAACTAGTAGAAAGCTGAAATGTATTTGAGTTGATAATGGTGGTGAATATAAGGGTTCTTTTAAGAAGTATTGTAGGGAACATGGTATTAAGTTAGAGAAGACAGTTTCTAAGACTCCATAGCAGAATGGAGTGGCTGAGAGAATGAACAGAACCATTATTGAAAGAATTAGATGTATAGTCTCTCATGCAAAGCTGCCTAAGTCCTTTTAGGGTGAGGCAATGAAGACTGTAGTTGCCATGATCAACCTTTCTCCATCAGTTTCTCTTGAATTTGATGCTCCAGATAGAGTTTAGAAAGGAAAGGATGTCTCTTATGCACACTTAAAAGTGTTTGGATACAGAGCATTTGTACATGTTTCTAGAGATGAAAGGTCTAAGCTTGACAGCAAGACAAAACAATGCATTTTCTTGGGCTCTGAAGATGATGAGTTTGGCTATAGGTTGTGGGATCCAAAGGAGAAGAAAATTATGAGAAGCAGAGATGTTATCTTCTTTGAAGATCAAACCATTGAAGACTTTGAACAGAAAGAGAAAACAGAGTCTACTGCTTTTATTCCATCTAATTCAAATCCAAGACCTATTCCACAGTTACCTTTGATGCCTGCTAATCATGGGGGAGACTTGAAAAATGATGACAATGGTGGTTCTTTTATTGAGCCATTAGTTGGTGATCCTGAATCAACTAATGATGATATTGATGTTATTCTTGAACAGGATATGCAGAAAGCTCCAAATGAGCCACAATTGAGAAGGTCAACTAGACTTCGCTAACCTTCTACCAAATATCCTCCTCATAAGTATGTGTTGGTTACTGATGGGGGAGAGTCAGAATGCTTTGATGAAGCTATGTCACATGAGAAGAAAAGAGAGTGGTTGAAAGCAATGCAAGAAGAGATGAAATCCTTGCATGAAAACCATACCTTTGCGTTAGTGAAGCTTCCTAAAGGTAAGAGAGCACTCAAGAAAAAATGGGTTTTTAGGTTGAAAATTGATGAACATTGCTCACAGCTAAGGTACAAGATACCATACCTTGCATGAAAGGTTTTGGTCAGAAGAAGGGTATTGATTTTGAAGAAATCTTTTCACTTGTGGTCAAGATATCTTCAATCCGAGTTATGTTTGGCTTAACTGCTAGTTTGAATTTTGAAGTTGAACAACTTGATATAAAAATTATTTTTCTCCATGGTGATTTAGATGAGGAATTCTACATGGAGGAGCCTGAAGGGTTTGAAGCAAAAGGCAAAGAGCAGCTAGTTTGTAAGTTGAAAAAGAGCTTATATGGGTTAAAGCAAGCTCCAAGACAATGGTATAAGAAGTTTGATTCTTTCATGATTGATCGTGGTTATGACAAGACCACTTCTGATCATTTTGTATTTATGAAAAGGTTTTCAGATGGAAACTTTATTATTCTCTTGTTGTATGTGGATGATATGTTGATTGTTGGCCATGATGCTAAGAAGATTCAGATGTTGAAGGAAGAGTTGAGCAAGTCTTTTGCAATGAAAGACTTAGGACCAGCAAAACAGATCCTTGGCATGAAGATCACATGTGACAGGAAGAAGAAGAAACTTTAGCTATCTCAGGAGAGATATGTTCAAAAGGTACTTGAGAGATTCAACATGAGCAACTCCAAACCTGTTTGTTCTCCACTTGCAAGCCACTTTAAACTAAGTTCTAAGCAGTGTCCTTCAAGTGATGAAGAAAAAGATGAGATGAAAAACATTTCTTATGCATCCGCGATTGGTAGCTTGATATATGTCATGGTTTGCATAAGGTCGGATATAGCTTATGTAGTTGATGTGGTTAGTCGGTTCCTCTCCAATCCTGGTAAAGAACACTGGTCAGCAGTGAAATGGATACTTAAGTATCTCAAAGGTACTTCTAGTTTCAGCTTATGTTTTGGTAATGATAAGCCTGTGTTGGATGGATACACAGATGCAGATATGGCTGGTGATGTTGATTCTAGAAAGTCCACATCAGGATACTTGATGAAGTTTGCAGGGGAAGCAGTCTCATAGCAATCAAGGTTACAAAAATATGTTGCATTATCCATTACAGAGGCTGAATATATTGCTCTTACAGAAGGGGGTAGAGAGTTGTTATGGATAAAGAAGTTCTTGCATGAACTTAGCCTAGTTCAAGAGAACTTTGTGTTGCACTGTGATAGTCAAAGTGCAATCTATCTCAGTAAGCATCCTACTTTTCACTCTCGATCAAAGCACATTGAGGTTAGATATCAATGAATTCAAGATGCTATGGAAATGAAGTCATTTGTTGTTGACAATATCCATACTAATGACAACGTGTCAAACATGATGACCAAACCTCTACCGAGAGAGAAGTTTGAGTTTTGCAGAAGGGAAGCAGGCTTGTCAAAGCCTCCTAAATTGAAACTTGCATATTGATTGTCAGTATGGTGAATTCCTCACATGGTGCGTGAGGGGGAGATTTGTTGTGTATGGTCCCACACCATGTGATGGTGGGACCACAATATTAATTTTCAAGAGACAGCATGACTATCTCTTGGTATTAAAATTAGCTGGTCGGCTATTGTAGAGGCAGTAGCAAATTTGAAGAAGAGAGGAGAAGAAAACTGAGAGAAAAAAAAGAAAAAGAAAAGAAGAAGCTGAGCAGCCTATGTTCTTCATTCGATTTCCAGCTCGTTCATCGTTGGATTGGGTTGAGATTTTGATAGCAGCAGCTAGACATGTTACTCTTCATTCTAGATGGTTGGATCGAAAATTGGTGGTGTGGAAGCTAGCTGTTTTGACAGAAAACAAGGCTATCAATATTGTGAGTTTTTCTCAAATAATTCTCTTTTAATCTTGTTGTAATCCGAGAATAAGTTGTTCTTGATGATATATATGTTGTATCCCTTAGTTAAATCTGAGGAAGAATAATTGTAAATCCATTATTTATTGATAGTGGAAGTTTTTAGGTATACTACAGTCCCGTGGTTTTTCCCGCATCGAGTTTTCCACATTAAAATTTTGGTAGTGATTTATATGATTATTTGCATTATATTTAATGATTATTTAATTCTGATTTTATTAAAAAAAAAGAATTAAAACTTATAAATTATAAATTATATTGTACTGAATTAATCCAAGATAAATTACTATCCACTTATTCCTAGTTTTCCCAGCAATATAATCGTGGACCACAAAGCCAATGTTTCCTACCATTTTCGCGAGTTCCAAAATCCTGCTTGTCAGCACAAACCAATGTTTAATTACCTTTTTGAGTTATCTGTCTCTTTCATTACTCGGGCAAACGCTATTGAGAGTTGGAAGCTTCTCTGGCTGAGTTCACATTTAGTCTCGTTTATTTTTCACAAGAAAGTTCTTAAATACTCAGGTAATAATTAGGGACAAACCAAAATTTGTCCTTGAATGCTGAGTATGCCGTCGGCAGCCGTTACAGTAGAGAAATTCTGTGGGCAAAACGGATGCCATGCTTATCAATGCCGGAAACTTGAGACTGAATACCACATTAGTCCTGACAGTCCCAAGCAGTCTTCAATACATATAAAATGGAAAAATACATGGTGAAGCATACAAGAAGTGAGATGACAGAAACAAACAGAAAAATATCACACCCATACAATACCGTTTATTCTTTTACAGTCTTCTTTACACAGAAGAAGAGCCTCCTTGATGAATTTTTCGAAGTTATTGTAAGATGATCCTCCAATACTGGTAGCTGCTTCTGCTATATCTTTCCACTCCAAAGCCTTTTGCCTCATTTGCTTCCCGCTGTCCCCTTCTATCATTTCCTTAACAAGACTTTCAATCTCGTTTCTCTTAACATCATGATTGACCTCCACTCCAATCCCCCATTTGGTGCATGCATACCGGCAATTCGGTTGTTGATCAGCAAAAAAAGGCCAGCAGATTACTGGAACGCCACAGGATATAGTTTCCATCATAGAATTCCACCCACAATGTGTCAGGAAAACCCCAACTGATGGATGTGCAAGAACTTGATCCTGTGGACACCAACTTGCTAATAATCCTCTACCATCAATTTGCTCAAGAAACTCTTCCGGCAAGATTGCAGAATCACCCATCACTACATCAGGCCTAATTATCCATAAAAACGGTAGTTTACTATTTGCCAGGCCCCAAGCAAATTCTCTCAAGTGTGTGTCTGTCATTACGGTCACACTTCCATAATTAATGTACACAACAGAATTATGTCCTCTTTTATCAAGCCAATCAAGACAGTTTAAGTCTTCTTTCCATAAACTTGAACCAAGTGACCTGGATTCGCTTTCAGCTGGGATATGCTTTAAAAGCAAGGGAAGAGGACCTACTGTATAAATGTTAGGGAACTTGGTAGCAATTATAGACTCCAACACCTCATTTTCGAATTCGTTGAATGTGTTGAAGATAATTGCAGGAGAGTTTAAGCAGTTCTCTGCTTCTGATCCCATAAAATCAAACATTATTTCATCGTTTGTGGTTCTGATAAAGGTTGGCATGTCTTTTAATCGGATGTTACTCAAACCAGGGATCCAATCAATAGGTGTATAGCCATCTCGAAGTAAATTTTCTTCTGAAACAACGGAAGGATAAAGTTTTATGTTCATGATAAACATTTTCTCAAACAATAGAGAAATATCCAGGAGAGCATGCTGCATGCCCTCTTGGATAGTACAAAACAGATAAACGAAGAAAAGCCAAGAAATACACACCTTTGTATGGAACGAAGCCTCTTCTGGTGAGTTCATTGAAATGCAAATATCCCATGAAGCTACAAGCTGAGGCTGTCCAAAACTGAACCTGGGGAATGTTAAACTCTTCTGCAGCTTTTATGCCAAAGCTCATGACTCCATCTGAGATTACGCAAGTAACAGGAGGCACTTCAGATGATGAATTCAACTTTGTAAGGAGCTCTTTAAATGGGGCCATACAATTTTTCCTTGTTGAATCACACAAGGACGGAACGTCTTGTGTTGCATCAAAATCAGATGGTGGCAAAGGCAAACCATCCGGTATGGTCTCAAACCGGAAATCAGGCAGGCCTTCGACAGAGTCTGGTCCTCTGGACCGGATTAATCTCCCGTGGTTGAACTCAGTGTTAACGAAGGTTATGTGAAAGCCTCTTGAGTGCAAAAGCTTGGCTAGGTGCATCATTGGGGTAACATGGCCCTGTGATGGATAGGGAACACATACTGCATGGGGTTTTCTGGCTCCAGTTGAACTCATATTTTCTCTGAGGCACTGAAATGAAATGCTTTCCTGGTTTTTCTTGGCCTAAAAATAAAAGAGATGTACTAGTCCACGAGCATCTTTTGATGACAAAATTATCAGACTGGGTCCCCTATATTTTCTAGTTGACATATCACAACGTGATTGGCTTACGGCACTGAATTCCAATTAGATGGGACGATATCATTAATCTTCATGTCATAAGCTGCAAGGGCCTTCTGGGGTGGGTATGCTGAAGCTTTTCCGAATATTATTTTTATTCTTGAAAAATGGGAAGATTCACGAGCGGTTTAGCAACCACATGCATAGAAATCACTTGAGGATGATTAATAATGTCAAATTCGATGACGTAATGACGTAGAAAATAATGTAAGATATCAAACGTTCAATGAATTCCTAGTAGCAGACGTCTGCGCTGTGGAATTGATTCCAATCTTCTTGCCCTCGTTTTTTTGTATGCTTGTGTGTGGTGGGGATGCCGAATCTTTTCTCGTGGCCTGCTGATAGCAACTGAAGCATGACCAGCCGAAAACGAGGACAATGATTCTTTAATGGAAACTTGAATGAATAGCTGAAATGATTTTTTTATCAAAAAAAAAATCTCATTCTTATATATTTATTAAAATAATTAAAACATTAAAATATACTATTTACTTTTATCAAGTAAATATTTTTTAATACACAGATGGGTTGTTGAAATGATTTATTTTTTATCTGGTGGAGTGTACATTAAAAAAAAACATATTTATACCATTCAAAACCTTATAAACAATTCGCCTTTTCTAAATTGCCAATGAGAAGCTTTTTTGAAAAAGTGGCATGTCCACGACATCAGACATTGACAAACTGAACTTAGGCGGCTTGCAGGTAAAATCATCACTTGATTGCTCGGCAAATCATGGTAAGATATTCTGAAGGTTTTTTTTTTTTTTTTTTTAATTTGCCTAAAATGAATCGTTTTTTTTTTTTTTAAATATTTATCCAAAACATCATTTTAGAATACACTGAATACTGGTAAATTGACCTGGCAACAAAATAAAATAGGTTGTAAACCAGGTTACACTATATGGTTCGACAACTATGTTCTAGAGCACACTAATTTCTTATGGGATGATTTTTTAAAAAAAATCAAAAAATATAAAAAGTACTAAAAAACTAAAAAAATGATTAATATTAACCAAAATACTTTTACTAAAACTATAACACATTACATAATATATATTTTTTAAAAATAATAATGAAACGATAGCACACTAAACTAACTCAAATTAATAATAATTATCCTACAAAACCTGCAATATAAACATAAAATAGTGATAAAATCATGAAAATCATAATGAAACAAAATAAAAAGCTACATTTATGCAAAATAATTATCAATTTTGAGGAATATAACTTAATTAGTTAAATTTATTTTTTAAATATTATTAATTCAAGTCTCATAAATTTTAAAATCATTAAAAACTTATATAATAATTAACTTCATAAACTCAAAAAATTAGTCAGCTGCAAGTAAACTTACCAAACACCCACAATTACAAATATATATATATATATATATAAAAGAGCTACCAGGACCTAGCTTTATACAAATGCTGCCCTACCTGTATCAATCAGATCCTCGTATCATTTGGACTCAAACCCAGCCCAAATGTAAAACAGCCAAATGTAAAACAGAATCAAAATTAGGCTAGTCTTGGTCAACGTTGTCAACTGGGTAAAAAATAGTAAATTTTAAGTAAACAAGGTTATGTAACAGCAAAAGTCAACAATTTAGCTGGGTTCACAAGCAAGGTTTCGGTTAAATGGGTTGCACGAGTAGTTACAGCACCCCTAATGTTCTTTTCTAACTTCGTTGCTTCAGCTTTTCTTGGACCCTGCAAGACAATTTTCCTGCACAAAAGAAACATGGGGTCTCGGATCAAAGACATGGATTGCTTCTATGGAATGTGGACATCTTTATCTGCATTGATTCAAAAGAAGCCTATTGCTAACAGTCATGGAACTATACAACATTGCTTCAAGGTTGTGCCTCCACCATCTGACATGAGAGATGTAGCAGCGGTGGCTGCAGTAGGGACAACCCCTGCTGAAACACCTGGTTTTGAAAAGTGCAGTAGCCTGCAAGATATAACACCACAGATTTCGGATGAAATAATATTGACCAGCAACAAATTCAAAAGAAACGTTCTTGCATGACCACCAAAGAAAATGCTAACCTAGGAAGTTTCCAATTGTACCATAGGGAGTCCTTGACTCTTGCTATGGGAATATATAAAGGGAACTGTCTAGAAGGGTTTGCAAATAGACATGTCAGGGATCATGAAGCTTACAGGGCAAGATATTCACAGAAAGATGACACAGCAACAACTACTTCAGAATATTTTTCAGCCTTTGCAGGAGCTGTTACTTCTACCACCTGAATGCCAGGAGTTACTGGCATAGTATCATCGATGGCGTGTAGTTTAGCATCTTATAAATAGATGACATTGTGACAGTTATCCGAGCACCCCTTTTGAAATGGGAGGCAGATTGGAGAGCACCCCTTTTGAAATGGGAGGCAGATCCCACTCTTAGCAGCTCATGGTCTAATTTGTAGCCAAGTGCATAAAATAATCGAAGCACATTCTTGCTTGCTTTGCTTTCAACCATAGTCCTAACCAGAACTGAGATTTGCTCAGCACCAGAACCCCTCATTGCACCCCCAACATATTTGACCGTCCTACAGCATAAAAGATTTCTGTAAACACACACAGAAAACAAGAAGCACGAGTGCATCTTGAAGCATAATGGAAACAACCACAAATCTTGACCATCCAAAAAAAAATCATATATCTCACCAGGGTTGAGGATGCTCAAGATCACACAATAGTTGAACCTCTGAAGACACAAGCCCTGGGAAAAGGAGCACAGACTTCGTGTTAGCAAGAAAGATCCCACAGATGTTTACATGGACAAAAAATTTCAAGACAAATCCTGACATTCTGAGATATCAAATGCAAGTGGGCGGCAGGGGAAGATGTTATAAGGTAAATATTATGTTTTTTAGTCAACGAGCTTCTATTGATATGTTTTCAGCTAACTACTAGCTACAGAAAGATGATTTAAACCATACCAAGAAATGAATACAGAAAACTTGAGATAGATGTGTAGATAAGGGATCCAGACATCTTTGCTTGGGCGCTTAAGAATTTGTAAGCATCACCACTGCCAAAAATGTGTGCTTACCATGAAGAAATCAAGAAGGCTGATAGAGGAAGTTTGAAGAATAGCAAATCAATCTTATTATTCTGTGTGTTTTCTACGGTGTATATACATAGTTTATATAGAAAAGATCTTATCTAAATAAGTAAACTGATAGACTAGCAACTAACATTTAGAACTTAATTACGGAAATTACAATCAAACTAAATCTTTAAGATATAATTTACAAATCAAGCGTTAATTGTTTTGATTCTGAATCTTAACATGCCCCCTCAAGCTGGAGTGGAGCATAGATGTCCAAGGTTCCCAGCTTATATAGCAGATTATGAAATAACAGGTTACCAAGAGGCTTTGTGAATATATCTGCCATCTGCTGTGTTGAAGATGCATAATTGGTCTTTATCAATCCTGATTGTATTTTCTCACGCATAGTATGACAATCAATTTCGATATGTTTTGTGCGTTCATGAAATACAGGGTTGGCTACAATGTGTAACGCAGCTTGGTTGTCACAATATAAGAGGGTTGGTTGCGAGTGTGGCACCTGTAAATCACATAAGAGCTGTTTAAGCCAAACCAACTCACAAGTAAGCAATGCCATTGATCTATATTCTAATTCTGCTGAAGAACGTGATACGACTGACTGTTTCTTGCTCTTCCAAGATATGGGAGCTCCTTCAAGGAAAACACAGAAGCCAGTAACAGATCACCTGGTTGTTGGATAACTTGCCCAATCAGCATCACAATACCCTTTCAACTGTAACTTTCCATGTGATGGAAACAAAATGCCTTGTCCTGGAGCCAGCTTCAAATATTGGAGGACACGGTGAGCTGCATCCAGATGAGGTTTCCTTGGTTGCTGCATGAATTGGCTAAGAACGTGTACTGAGAAGGCAATGTCCGGCCTTGTGATAGTGAGATACAAAAGACGGCCGACAAGGTGTCGATATGGTAATGGATCTTTGAGCAGTTCACCTTCTGAAGGGGTGAGTGGTTGGTTTTGTTCCATTGGAATTTTAGTTGGTCTTGACCCAATCATACCTGCATCTTTAAGTATATCAAGAGTGTATTTATGTTGAGAGATGACAATACCTTGTTTGGAGTAAGCAACTTCAATTCCAAGGAAGTACTTGAGATTGCCCAAATCTTTAATCCGAAAATGGTTGTGAAGAAACCTTTTAAGTTTTCTAACTGTGGCAGTGTCATTTCCTGTGATGATCATATCATTTACCTGCTGGTAAGGGACATAATGTCCAGGTATTGTTCAATTCAACAGCGGTTAATTCATTGTTTTTGACAAGTATTTTTCTGATGGTGTTTCTGTCATGGTGATGTTGGCGGAAGCAAAATAATGAGCAGTATTAGGTGCTGAATAACCGCTCTGATACCATAAAGAAAGCAAGAGGGCTGACAGAGAAAGTTTGAAGAATAGCAAAACAGTTTTATTATTCTGTGTGTTTTCTATAGTGTATATACATAGTTTATACAGAAAAGATCTTATCTAAATAAGTAAACTAACAGACTAGCAACTAACAGTTAGGACTTAATTACAGAAATTACAATCAAACTAAATCTTTAAGATATGATTTACAAATCAAGCGTTAATTGTTTTGATTCCGAATCTTAACATACCAAGGTTTCGGCCACTTTTTAGGCATAACTCATGGACCGTAGGTGTTCTTTATGAACACCACAAAGACCCCGAAGAAGAATCTCAAGGGCCTCTACGTGCTGCAAAATAAAATTGAAAAAGGAAATGAAAAACAAGCTAAAAAATTGAATTAGAAATCAAGCAGTCATGTGCATATGTACCTTCCATTTATAACAAAACACAAATCTCCACAGAATCTATGTAAAAAACACATAAGGGGGACAACAAACAGTGCTGAGATTTTGAGGTAACATAAATCTACAAAATAAAATTTAGAAAACCAAAAGCAGAAACTTGATAAACTTAAATTGATGTAAACTGATTGGCTAGATTAATGGCTTTCATCCCTACCAAATCTACAACATCAACAACCAAAACAGATAATATGGCAATGCTGGTATTTTGAAGAAGGTGCATAAATACAGAAAACAAAGTTTTCCAAACACAAAAAAATGACATTTAAACAGGTATAAAATGATGGATCTGATCCCTGAGGGGGTGGGGTGGGAGGGGTGGTTTGACGTGGCATATAACATGGTTAAAAGCCAGGGTTCTCACAAACCGAAATTATAGAGAAATTTAGAAAAAACTCTCTGATATTTTATTAAATCTTAATAATAATTTTCTTCTCAAAATAAACTAAACACCTCTATTTATATTAATT